GTAAGAGATGGTTTATTGGATGAAGTGGTCATTTGTCGTATTTTAAGAGAAGGTGATAAGTTAGTAAAATTGTTTATACTTGTGATGAAGGGGGAAGTTACTTTTTATATATTTCTTTTCTTTTTCTTTACTATATTCTTATTTTTTCTTTCTTTTCTATTTCTCTCTTTTTCCTCTTTTTCTTTCTTTTCTGCACCTTCTATTTTTCTTTTATATATTGTTTACTTTGTATTAGTTTTTACTGTTGCAATTGTAATCCTTAATAAAATTACTATAAAAAGAATGAAAATTTGAAAGTGCAAGAGGAACAGTTAGGACTGTTGTTGCATTACAAGATTGAACCTTTGGATTTAAGAAAAAAATGGATGGAGACTGAAAGCCAAGACACTGAGTTTGGAACTAGATTTAATAATGCCTAGAACATATTCACTAAAATCCAGGATTTTACGAACTTCATCAGGTCTGTTTGAAGCATGACTGAGTCTGGGATCAACCCACAGTTCAGAGGCACTGGCTCGACTGATATTTCCCTTGCATTTCTCTGTATGATTCTAATGTTGTTGCTGCTATCTTTAAAAAGGGATGGCCTCTGAAATTAGGCATTTCTTTCAAGCATTTCTGATCTGACTGCACACAGCTAACACTGCTGAGTCAAATAGCAAATAGTTGTCCTTTTTTGACAGGATTAAGAAACCAGTGACTTCACGTATGACAGGCACAAAGGAGTATCTTAGAACATGAAAATACTAACCTGTCGGTTGTGCAGCTGTCTGTCTACATAGATTTGACCTTCGGTAATGTATCCCGTCAAATCAGGAATAGGATGTGTTATGTCTGCAAGAGAAGTTGCATTAAAGCTTTCCAGTTTCTGTGCAAAATACATTACCAATTGCTGATCTGTTTTATATACATCACGTTAAGCCACAAGATGGCTGGTATGATTTATAGCTTAGTGTGTTGTATGAACCCGGCCATTAGGGTTTATTTACGGCTGAGCACAAACTATAAATTGAGCCACTGTGACATACTTGCCCGACCAGAAGGAACAGAAAGGAGATCCAAAAAGGAAGGTCTATTAGCGAAAGAGACTGCAGGAGGAAGGAAGAGCCACCAGATGCTGGAGAATAACCCTTCCACTTGTCTCCTGGAGTTACAAAATACAGCTGCCCAGATGCTGATGGCAGCAGTGTCTGAATTGTTGTGAAATGGTTTGCCCATCAGGCTTAGTGCATTTAATCTTAGCCTGCAGGGTGAGGTATGTAGCAGCAGACGCACAAGATGAGAGAAGTTCCAAGACTGAAAATAAGCCTGAAAGAGAACTCACCATCATTGGGCATCGTAAGAATGGGAATCTGTGTGATGGACCCACTCCTGCCTTCTACTCGTCCAGCTCGTTCATAGATTGTGGCCAAATCTGTGTACATGTAACCAGGAAAACCACGCCGGCCTGGGACTTCTTCTCTGGCAGCTGAGACCTTTGGGGAATGAAGGTAAACAAAAGAATATTAGCAAAGGTTGGAATAACCAGCAGAAGCAAGAAAATAAAAAGGGGTTTTCAATCTCCTGCCCCCAAAATTACCCTTTTCTGATGCAGCTTTTGGGACTGCTGAGCAGAGGAACACTGGAAAGTTAGTTTCCATCCCTCTGCTCTGTCAAATTTAAGACCGTTGCCACCTCCTTAGCATAACGACATATTTTCCTGAACCCATAGGGTGCAGCTGATTGATGTGCCAAAGGTGTTCATGCCCGCTGTGTAACTGAATACTGTGCACTTCTACTAAATGCCCTTTTGAATTCTTTCATAGTATCTATGAAAGACAGAAATGCAGGCATGTCAGAACATTCTGTAGTAATTCTTATTCTCAGAAAGTCATAACTTACAGATTCTTAATTATTTCTGAGCAAATGCCTCACAAGTTATTAGAAAGTTTAAACCAGGGGAAATATTTGGCTACACATTAAACACTCATCTGATCAATAGACTAAATATGTACCTCTCTCAGAGCTTCTGCGTAGGAACTCATATCTGTCAGAATGACCAATACATGCTTCTCACACTGATAGGCCAAGAACTCTGCTGTGGTCAACGCAAGACGAGGAGTGATTATCCGCTCAATGCTGGAAAAGAACAATGAGCTCTGTTAACCCAGTTACGCCAAAGTGAAGGTCTTGCTTCCAAAAAAGGACAGTTAAAAAAAAATGGCCTAAAGCAAGATTCAAAAGCCACTGGGAGTAATTAAGGGTTACCCTAGGAGACAAAGAATGCATATTCCTCCATAGCCTCCTTAAGGGAGACTGCCTGAACCTAATGAGAGGAGAATGTGCATCCTCTGCCCCAAGGAGTTCACTCCTCTTTCAGACACCACTAGATGCTTATATGTTCCATGAAGGCATACGCAAATAAGTCAAGGGGCAGACTTCCAGGAAATACGATTAATATCCAAGATGAAATCCAAAAATGAAGAACCCAATCCATGTGTTAAATTTTAACAGGTATATTCCATTCAAGTCTTACACTGATGCTTAAAGTGGAAAATGTGGGCAGAAAAGGAAGGCTGTTCTAACATCCTACAGTAGAGCAACCAGGTAAGAGTAGAGACCGATACCCTGCCACCCAATGAATTTGAGTTAGATTTTTTTGAGAGTGTCATCAAGCCATTAATTGCAAACCCTACAAGATTCCACAATGCATATACTCAGATATGGTGGCTGGCCATCAATGTAGAAAAGAGGCTGGACAAACTCATGAACTATCAGGATGTCAACAATTAACGGTCTTGATGGTTATTCACTTTTAAAATACTGGCTGCGGGATAACAATTAATGAAAGAGAGCTATCACTGCCATGTTCATACTATGAGCTTCCTGAATACATCTGGGTGGCCACTGTACGTCACTGACGGCCCATGGCCTGATTCAGCTGGGAATGTCTCATTTTCTAAAACACCTCTTCAGTGGAATCTTTCAAGACCAAAAGGCACAGGGAATGCTGTTGCTAATAGGCAGAAACTCTTCGGTCCCAAATTTCACACATGTTGCCAAAGAGTCAGCCCATTTCCAAGCTTGTGCTGGTCAACAAGTAACTGGGCAGGATGCTCCTTGTTAAATGTGCTTTCTGGGATTCCTTTCCAATGTCAAATCTCAGTGCCTCACGCAGGATTGAATTTTAAGCAAGAACTATTTTGCTTTTTGTTTTAGCTACATTCAAATGCCTCAAATCTTTTCCTGCCATTTTACCTCAGAAATCTGACACATAGAGAAGCCATTGTTTCCTAAGATGATGCTCAAAACTACTTCTAAATTTATTTCCAATGACTTCTGGAAACCAGCTTGTTCGGTGGATTAGAAAAATATCAAATAAACTACAAGAATCAGAGGTGAGATTCATGTTTCACGGTTTCCTATATTTTCACTGATAATGGCAAAGTGTATCCACTTACGTTGGATCATTAGCCAAGTTCAAGAACAGGCACACGTTGTCCATGGATCCATTTTCTTCAAAGTCGGACTTGAAAAATCGGGCTGTTTCCATGTTCACCTGGAGTAAAGCAAAGAGATGAAGTCAACCAGTTCAAATCCAACTTGCAGGAAAGACAACATCACTGTATATTTTAGAGGTGCCTACTACTTCTCTGTAAGTTTTTCTTCCAGACTAAACATGAGCTGAGCTCCTTTGGTGCAGATGAGTAAGAGATACATTGCCTAGTCAACTGTACACGACTTTGGGGATTCACATTACATGTGTTAGCACACAGATAAGCTGACTATGTAACCTGCTTTATTGACCCTGCTATGAGGTAAGATGCAGATCTACTGAAGTAATTAGCAGACATCATTCTTTGGGTCAGGAGATGCAGCTTGTTCCCTGTATGTATGTATTATCTGATTTATATAGCTGCCCATCTCACATACATGACTCTAGGTGGCTCACAATAAAATACATAAAATACGCAATATAAAAAATGAAAATAAAACATATAGCAGCAAGGCATCATCCAACCAATTATCCACGCAGGCAGGAGATGGGCTCTGTCACATGCCCAGGGCCCTAGGCTTGGGCACAAAGCAAGTTTTTAAGGCCTTACCAAAGGCCAACAGGGACAGGGGAAAGTAGATGGAGAGATAGTGGTGATGTCACTGGAAGGGACAGGGGAAATTTTTTCAGTGCTTTCTTCTTTTTAAGGGTTGGAATGAGAAGACCCTGGGTGGCAAGTGGTTTCCACTTCTACCGTTCAACTCCTTCCCAACCCAGTAGAGACAACAATGGCCAGATTTCAGCTGCATAATTTCAGCTGTGGGGGGGATTAAGATTGAAAATGGGGATGCACTACTTCCCAAAGGCCTCCAGGGACCATTTCCACCCTGATTATCTTTTCTAGCAAAAAAGAAAAATGTTGCCAAATGTTGGCTGCGCAGTCTTAGAGTAGTGGGAAGACAAGTTGTTCTCCCATGGTGGTTCTAGGCAATGAAGGAGACTACCATTTTGCATGCATTTAGCTACTTACTCCCATCGCAGCAAATACAATGGCGAAGTTCTCAGCGCTGTAGTCCACCACGTCTTTGGATTTCTTCACTAAGCCTGCCTGACGACAGATCTGAGCTGCTATCTGGGGAAAAAAATGGCAACGGATGTCTTCAGTGTAATAAAGCATTGATTTTTAGGAAGAACATAGGTGGTAAGAGAAGGATATCCAAGTGTCATTTAGGAGGATAAGAAAAGCCACACTGCTTTCATATTTGGTTTGGTTATGCCTAATAGAGAATGAAGAGTATTCAATCAGATATGTGGCCAGATAAATTATCTACCTATCCAATCTATGTGTAACGATGTTCTAGGGGGAAAAAACTGGATTATAAAGCAAAAACTCATTCCATCAAAACATCAGTAGACTGAGAAATGCTTGAAGATCACTGGAAGCCATATCTCTGGAGACCAGAGATCTGAATCTCAGGCCCTTCAGAACTTCTGCAAATGGAGATGAGGTGGCTGTAAAAAGATGCTTCTCATTGTGGACTACATTCTGTGGAGAGGTTTAGCATTTACTTTAAATGCCTCTCCACATCCACAAGTAGAAATACATGGATTTCCAAAGTCTTTTAAACAAAATATAATGGGTTTTAGCTTTCAATATGATTTTAGCTTAATGCTGTGATTTGTCTTAATTTTGGGATTTATTAAGCAGTTTTATTTTTAATCTTGTTTTTATTTTTGAGCTCCATGAAGGACTTGCTAGAGAGTGGCCTATATTTTCTTTCCTTCTTGACCTTTTCAGGAATTCAAACATTCAGTTATTTCAGGGTGGAGGAAGTGAGTGGGCAATGGTTTTTCCTAGTCACAGTGAATGATACCTAAATATGCAGGACCTTTTTCATAAATCAAAATGAGTTTCAGTCCTGCCTCTAGTCTCTCAACTCATGTCTATACAAAAATCCTAACTCCAGTATTTTATCCTGAGACCAATGAAGGTTAGCAAGAACATAAAAGCTTGTGAGAAGGAGCAAGAACTGTGATTTTCTCTAAAAATATTAACCAGATTCAAAGATACAATTTAACATAGTACTGTATATTGGGGAAGGCAATCTGGTGCCTTCTAAATGAGTTTTCACTCCCATCATCTGGTCAACATGGCTAACAGCAAGGGACTGTGGCAAGGATAGAACAAAGTATCTGGAAAGCTCCAGGCTATCTACTCCTACTATTATATTGCAAATATTCTTCCCACTGAATATGTTATTAATATACTTTTTATCCTGTGAGTTCGGAGCAAAGCTGGGCGATTATAAAAGCCAACGATTATCTACTCCATAAAATGATATTCAAACACCTACCTCGTTATGTGGCAATCCAGCAGCAGAGAAAATGGGAATCTTCTGGCCTCTGGCAATACTGTTCATACCGTCGATAGCAGAAATGCCAGTCTGAATCATTTCTTCTGGGTAGATTCGACACTGAGGATTGATAGGTTGACCTGTTTCATTTTGATGGGAAAAGCAACCCGTTTTAGCCTGCATTTTCCAAGGAGGTATGGCCAGTATTTTCCACAAAGAATACTACAATTCAACATAACAGTGTTACAATTCAAGCAATTTGGTCATTTAAGAAAGTGAATATTTCTGAATTGTTTTTATACCTAGCGAAGTCTTTTGTGAGTCAATACCCAACAGCTAGCTTTGAAAGTATCACTATCTCTAGAGGCTGTCAATTAAGAAGGAATCAGCCTTTTTAAACCTGTTTTAAATTTCCTAGCCAGAGAACTGAACATTTTTGTGATAACAATCAGTAATTAACATTATAAGAACTGGACATTTCTTGGATGAGGTCTTCAGGGAACCAGAATTGGGTTTTCTCTATGTAGTCATTTACTTAATAAAAATGCAGCATGGCCTCTATTTGAATTTGTTTTCAAAGGTATGTTCAAACATGGCTTTTTCAGAAGGAATTACTGACAGGACCTTAATATTATCTGAAACCAGTTAAATGTTCTAATGTGTTGCTTCAAGGCTATTTTCTTTTGTTGTTAGGTTTTTATAGATAATTCAAAATTGGATTTTTCTACCATTGGCTTAGAGTATTCTTTAGAACATAATGGAAAATCAACACAGTAAAATGTCAAACTGCTAGTACCCATTTTGAATAAAGATGGTTTAAGAAGGATTATCCTACTTTTTCTGCCTAATGTCAACCTTTGAAAAGAGGCGACGTAAAAAGTCCGTTGATCTTCTAGTTTGTATAGGCTCTCTGTAGGGATGTGCAAATGAGCCAAGACCTGATTTTAATTTGTGATATGATGTGGATTTCACACACCCATTGTTGAATTGATGTGAACATTCGGATGAAGGAAAAGTGCATTTGTGCATGCACAGAGAGCCACTGAATCTTCAAATCAACATTAAGGTATGTGATGAGGGTGCATCAATTTGATCAGAACAGGCGTTTCGATCCCATTTCATTTGACTCCATATTTGCAACTGATCATTCGTACAATACTGCTTCACAGAGCTGTTGCTTTATTATACTAGCCTACTCCTTTCATACACAGAGCTGCAAACCCACTTCCTGTTGAACATTAATCTAAATGTTATATTAAGCATTGTAAACATACCCATGATATCAAGGTAGTCTTCAGCCAAGACTGCAGGACCTCTGTCTATGGGTTTCCCTGATCCATTAAACACACGCCCTACAACGATGAGAACAAGAGAGAGAGACATATTTACAAAACTGCATAGGAAAGAGATATCAGGGACAAGTCATATATGAAGTTTTCCATCCAATAAACAAAATCTGGTACTACCAAGCATATCTTCAGACACCGGGGTTCGAAGGATATCCCCAGTGAATTCACAAGATGTTCTCTTAGCATCGATTCCTGAAGTTCCTTCAAACACCTAGAAAAGGGAAATATTTTATTATTTCATATTTTTATTTTAATTGGGAGTTGAGGTTTTTATTGCAGCAACTAGACAGATAATTATATGCATTGGGATTCACATTAACCAAAGCTAAGTGACAAACTTATCATTTATTTATATTTATTATCATCTCCTCATATAGTTAGATTTAACCAATCTAAACTTCCCCAGCATTTTAGAAAATAGCAGTTAACCAGATTTAGAACTGTAAAAGCAAGCATGAACTTAAGTGACAACACTCAGTAGAGCAAGAAAAAAAAAAGAGAATATGCAGTTTGGAATGGGAAAAAGGAGTGCTACATATTTGAGTGTCTCACGAAATGTGAAAAGTTTGATAGTTTTATCAACATCAAAGATGTGCAAAAGTAGTAGAACTATAGATAGATAAAGGAAACTGCCCTAGGACAGAATATTAATTTTGCTGCAATATTAAATATAAGGGCATTAATATGAGACAGTAGCATTATCCATTCGCATCAGTGGCTTCCTAGCAAACATTTAAACAGATTCAAGATAGTTATGCTAGTTCCTTATTTTAGGCCAGTATTTCTCAACCTTAGCAACTTTAAGATGCGTGGACTTCACTTCCTAGAATTCCCCAGCCAGCTATTGTTGCCAAGGTTGAGAAACACTGTTTTAGGTTCTAGTTTCAACAGCTCAAAAACTTAGTGTTAATTTAATGCCACATGGATATTTTGATGTGAAACCAATTCCACACCTGACAGGAAAGAAAATTACATTAAGCTTTCATGGAACAAAAGTTTGAAGAACAAGTACAAAATATTGTAGGAACAGAAACTGAATGTACTTCTTTTTCATGGAAGGCATGGAAACATATGGTTTCTGAAATATTACATCTCAGCTTAAAAAGCTCAATGTAAACTCCTACGTAATAAAGATGTCAGACCCTAGAATGATACAACAAGTAAGAGTAAAAGGATGTATCCTACTACAGCAGATGGTTTAATTTTATTGCAAAATTTGAAAACTACTGGGAAGCAATACTGGGTACCCTTTCAGAAATAACCCTTACCTGAACTACAGCTTTGGATCCACTGACTTCTAGGACCTGTCCACTTCTCTTTGTTCCATCAGGTAATGTCAAATGCACAATCTCTGCATACCTGGGAAACTAAATGACAAGAATAACAGTTAACTAGGCCAAGAGATTTTTGTTAAGAGGAGAGATACTAAATTAAAGCACAGAATATCAAGACTGATCTAATTTGTTTCTTTCAGTTTAAAGGTTAAACTACAATCTGAAAAAACTTAGGGGAACACTGAACATGGGAACACTGAATTATTGGACATAATGATTTTTTCATTATGGTTTTTCCCCAATACCATTTTTACAAGCATTCAGTGTGAAACTCTGACAGCCATCTGGCATTGAAAATTTACTATACCATTTTATGGCTAAGGGAAAAAATTATCTAGTTGTCTCACCTCAGAAAAAAGCTGGCATCTATACAGTAGCTTCCCCAATCTGATGTTCCTAAAATGTGTTGGATTACAAATCCCATCACCCCCAGCCCACACTAGATATGCCTGAGGTGCTGTTGCTAGTCCAACATCAGAGGAAAGATGCAAGAATGAGAAAGGCTGGTCTAATGTTTTCATGTCTGAAATACCACAGTGTAACTGGAAATCCCAGCCAGAGGTTATATATTGACAATGCTTTTATATTTGATGGGGATGTTCAAATGCCCCTGTAAATAAACCCATAAGTCAGTCTACAAATGTTATTCTGCGGTAAAGGATGGGATGAGATTTGCATGTCCACACTGAACATGTTGAGTGGGGCTTTCCTTGTCCAAAAGGGTGGTGTGTTCAAAGAGTCTATGAATTGGCTTGCATGTTATTTTCATTACCAACTAAGCTAGCACTTAAATTAACAATCGCAAAATAGACATACAAATATGAGATACTTGCTATAATTAAAGAAAAAATAGGAAACCGTAGTTCAAAGCAAGTGTCTTTTTACTTGCACACCCATCAAACACTAAATTTACCTTCACTTGATCCAAGATTACTAGCGGCCCATTAACTCCAGATACTGTTTTATATGCTGAAAAGCAAAAATGAAGAAAGTATGTTTAAATAATCTAATATACTTTTAGTCAAAACATACACTTACTCAAATTTACTAAGTAATAATGCAGGATACGTAGCCATATCAAAAACACTCTTGTGCTATGCTTGATAGATCATCTCTGGAAAAGAGATCACAACTATCTGGGTCATATGGTAGGTACAGAAAAGCAGCATATTCTGGAGTGCCAATTGTTGTGAGATGGCTAAAGTACTCTAGATTTTTTATTTCACTACTTCTTTGCCTCTGGCCCCCCAAAATGTAAAACCATCATATAAACAGACTATCAACCTGCTATGCAACTCTGAAGTTGCTGACAATTAATTCAAAGTATGAGTATTATTGTCAGGACTGGAGTTACCTAAATTATACTTTCAGAGACTAGTCTTTATTATAATGAACTATATAGCACAACTTTTATTTAAACTACAGAAAGACTGAAAAAAACACCTGAAGACCATGATCCTAAAATACAGAACCACCACTCCCAGAATTCAAGGGCACCACATTCATGAACAAGGCTGCAGGCGCTGTATCATATTAACACTAGGACAAACAACATTATTTTCAAAAAATCATGTACTGTATCCCATTGTGGAAGATCAATACAGGCCTTGTTTATTTCACACTTTGCTGCAATGCCAGAAAAAAAGAAATCACTCCAAGTTCAAAAGGTGCAGATCCTTAATCTTTAGAATAAAATTTCTGGCATAAGGAATTAAGTCAGAAACTCCAATCTTCTCAGAGCATGCTAAGGCTCCGTGTCAGAATTTCATTAAATGAATAGCTGGGAAATGTAATACCCATTTGCATTGGCACAAGTTATCTGCACCCTCTTGAGTGCTTGATAGTAGGAAAGCAATCAGACGCAGACACTTGACATCCCAACGTTTCTTACTCCTGGGCTAAGGAGATCTGAACTATCCTCAGTTAAACAGACCCACTCATTTTTGGAGGATGTCCTACCATTCCATTTTGCTCCTTATTCATGATCTGAACACCGGCAAGGATCAACTAGACTGAGTCAATTTATGCATTTTATACTTAGTAAGAAAATGTGCTATACAGCACTATCTCTGCCACCATCAGTTCCTAGAAAGGAGCAGAAAAAAGGAGAATAATCCCACACAAACTCAAGTTTGGTTCACATATTGCTCTAAACTAGCAGTTCTTAGTGTGGTCTGGGGACCCCTGGGGGTCCCCAAGATCCTTTCAGGGGGTTTGTGAAGTCAAATAAATATTTTAACATTTCTCCATTTTAATTTCTAATACAGTACATACTGATAGATATAAGCCACATAAACCAAAGCTCTTTGGGGTCCTCAAACATTTTTAAGAATGTAAAGGGATCCTGAGACCAAAATGTTTGAGAACTGCTACTCTAAACTATCAGATGATGGGTCTTGTTTTGTTTCTGTATTAGTGTTTCATTACTATTATTATTAATTAAATTCGTATGTGCAAAACTAGCCATTGTGGTATTATAATAATAATAATAATAATAATAATAATAATAATAATAATAATAATGTATTAAATGTGTATGCCACCCGACTGTCAATGACTCTGTATAGCTCATAGCAAGGGAATTACAATAAAATCAATAAAACATAAAAAAAATAAAAGATAAAAATAAATATTGTTTATTAATTTGCAGAATATGTGAATCCGGTCAACTGTGGTTTATTCAACAAGCCATGTGGTTTATTAAGGAAGCCATAACTTAATACCCAGTATGAACTTGATTACTGTATCCTTTGCCTGGCTCAATGCTCCTGGCAAAGACAGTTTCTCCCACACCTCTTCCTCCTGCAACACGAGATTTTTTATTGGGCACTTAGTTCTTTAACCTTTGGAGTAAACAATCCATTTGTACCTTATAAAGCAGAGTGCTATACCAGCTTCTCCTGAATGGGTCCAGAAAAATTGGGTGGAATGTGCACAAAATCCTGGATTCTCAGGGGTTCATAATACTAGAGCATCTCTCTCATTCCCCCTTTAAAAAAAAAGCTTAGAAACTAGGAAACAAGTTTCATTCATTAGATGATAACTCTTAGCTTCCCTTCTTGTTTACCAGAAGATGGAAGTGGAAGGTAGGAATGCTTTCTCTCCATCTTGTCTGTGAGAACCTACAGGAGATTAAAATATGCATGGCCTAATTATTTGTACCGTAATGCAGTATTTCTCAACCTTGGTGACTTTAAAATATGTGGACTTCAACTCCCAGAATTCCCCAGCCAGCATGCTGGCTGGGGAAT